CTCAGAAACGCCCTGCGGGAATAGTTGTTTATGTAAATGTACCGAATCCTCAGGTATGGCTTCTAGAGATTTCACAGGAATAAGTCACTTTAGGAGAGAGGGAGCATTTGATTCACTGTCATTTTAAAATTTACAATGTAAGCACAGGAATTATACTGTGCCTCTACTACCTGAAATTAACACATTACTTTTCATTACATTATTTTAACTTTTTTTCTTTCTCCATATCCTTTTATAAAGTCATTTCTTTAGTAGTTAGCAGAGAAGAAAAGACAATTAACTTTCAGTAAGAAGACTTGATATTACAATAGTCACTGGGGAAATATTTGTTTTGTTATTTCCTACTAAATATTACTCTAGTCTCACTTTTATTAGCTTATAAGGTGAAATCTTAACTGTTGAGAAAACGAAATGAAATAATACTTAGAAGTGCTTATCACATTCAAAAGTTTCAATTTTAAAAAGAGCTGCTGTTACAATTTCTAGTTCAGTTGCTTGTCTTTATGTCTTTAAGTTGATCCTATTTTGGAACCATTAGAGAGTTAATGAATTTTATTACGTTGCTGAATTTGCTTTATTAAACCTTAGGCAAATTTAAAGCAACTTTTTAAATGAAGCCACGATGCTAAGTCCTGAATGATCCTCCTTAGCCGTACTGTAGCACAGTACAAAATGAAGTAAAACTGTCGGACATATCCAACTGTACACAGAAATCAGGAACATATCCAACAGTGCCAAGAAAGTCAGAGGCCTTTTAAATTGAGATTTTCTATGACGCAATGTATTATTCCAAATATTTAACCCAATTTACTTTTGATGGTTCAATTCCTTGTTTGCCTGGGCTCATATGGGAGATCCAGAGGAAGCTCTTGGCTTCAGATCAGCCCAGCTCTGGCAATTGCAACCATTTGGGGGAAGGAACCAGTGCATGGAAGATCTCTCTCTTGCTCTCTCTCTAGTCTCTATCTTTTCTTATAAACAAACAAACAAACAAATAAATAAATAAATAAATAAAATTTCAAGAATTACATAACGTTTTTTTCCCCTACATTGGGCTTCCAAGAGAAGTAGTCCTGCACTGGTTAAGATTTTTTTTGAAATTTTGAGTTGTATGGTTCTGTACAGTCTGGGATTTCTCCCTTCCAATGCCCACCCCCAACTGATTTTCCCATATTGTTACAATAGTATAGTCCTTCATGGGATGTTATAATTCCATCAGTCTGTTACTTAAGTGTGCCTTAACATTGCTGGTACAGGCCATGTCAGACAGTCCAGCATCCCATTGTCTAGACATGTCCAACAGTTTCATTGGGAGTCCATCTTGGATTTGGAAGTAGGGATGCATATTGCATTGTGTCTTCACATCTGTATTTGATAGTCTCAATTACTTCATCACTATACATTTCAATTTGCATGATGGTCTCTTTACATTAGAACATATGGTGTTTATCCTTTGGGAGTTGACGTATTTCATGGACTATAATGGTCTCTAGTTGGGACCATCTAGTTGCAAGTGGTATAATTTCATTCTTTTTAATGGCTGTGTAATATTCCACAGAGTAGATACACCACAGTTTCTTTATTTACTCCTCTTTGGATGGTCATCTGGATTGTTTCCATGTCTTTGCTATTATAGATTGTGCTTCCTGAAATATAGGAGTACAGATCCCCTTCTCATATGCAGTTTTCATTTCCTTTGGGTATAGTCCTAGGAGCAGGATTGCTGAGTATATGGCAAGTTTATTTGGAATTCTCTAAGCATTGTCCATACTGATTTCCACAGTGGTTGTATGAGCCTACACTCCCACCAGCAGTGAAGGAGGGTGCCTTTCTCCCCACATGCACACCAGCAGGTGTTGTTAGTAGAGTTGAATGTAGACCAATCACACTGGAGTTAGGTGGAACCTCAAGGTGGTTTTCATTTGTTTCTCTCTGATGACTAGGGGGCTTGAGCATCTTTTCATATGTCTGTTAGCCATTTGAATCTGTTCTTTTGAAAAGCATCTGTTAAATTCCTTTGCCCATTTCTTCACAGGTTTGTTTTTTTCCTGGGTTTCTTTGTAAATCCTGAATATTCATCCCCTATCACTTGTGTAGTGTGCAAACGTTTTCTCCCATCTGTTGATCACTTCTTCACTTTGTTGATTGTTTCCTTTTCCCTACAGAAGCTTTTTAGTTTGATGTAGTCCCATTTATTTATTTTGCCTTTGACTGCCTTTGCTTTTGGAATCTTTTTGAAGAAGACTTTCCCCATTCCCATTTCCTGTGGAGTATTTCCTATGTTTTCCTTTAATAGTTTGATGGTTTCTGGGAGTAGATTCAGGTTCTTGATCCATTTAAAGCTGACGTTTGTGTAGTGTGACAGGTGTAGGTCCTGCCTCTTAATTCTGCATGCTGCTATCCAGTTGTCCCAACAGCATTTGTTGAATAGACCAGGCTTTTTTCCTGGATTGTTTTCAGTTTTCTTGTCAAAGATTAGTTGGCTCCCATGTGTGGGCTCCCTTCTGGTGTTTCTGTTCTGTTGCATTGATCTTTGTTTCTGTACCAGTACCAGACTGTTTTGATGACCACTGCTCTGTAGTAAGTCTGGAGGGCTGGAATTGTGATTCCTCCAGCTTGATTTTTATTCTTCAGGATAATTTTGGCTATTTGTGGTCTCTAGTGTTTTAATGAACCACGTGTTAAGTGAGAATGGGGATTGAGGGCTGATTTGTTGTGTTTGCAGACTTCAGTGTTGTAATAATTTCCACCACAGGCAGGGTTAAGCTCCAAAGATGAGAATATTGAGTATGGAGTTGGGAAAAGATACACAGTAGCATAGCATCATATATGATATCCTGCATCTATAATGTAGCAAAATAATAAAATAGCAAATAAGAATAATAGCAAAACAAGTGGGAGATAGTGAATTTCTAATGCTTGTTTTTAATATAGCTGAAAATAAATTTTATGTAACTAAATTTTTAATGACTTTTAAACAACCAGTTTTCAGAATTTCTGAACATTTAACAAATCAGCTCTCTGAAGCTGATTCTGACACAACACTGGAATTATGAAGTGTCTGTTTTTTCTAACCAAGTAAGTAATGCAGAAACAAATGCCTGCCAGTGCCCAGTTATTTTTTGTAAATATGGATCTAATCCTGAGGCACGAGGCAGTCAGACCTGTGACTCTTTTCTAACGTCGTTTCCGATCAGAGCCAGTCCCTTGCGTTCTCTGTGTGTCACCTACATGACATGCCGACGGCTTCGAGCTTTCCACAGCACCCTGTGCTCTGCCGGCCCCCAGGCCTTCCCGCCGTGTCCCTTAGCCGTCAGTGACCTTACTCGTCTGCCTGCTGTAGTGCGTATTTGTTTTTCCAGAGACGACTCAAATACTGCTTCCTTTTAGCTCCCTCTGTGAGAAACAGCCCCATTCCTCTTGGTGTTCTCATAGTGCTTTTGTTTATGCCTCATTCTGACCTAAATTGTGTTGTCAACAACAAAATTCTGTTTTGTTCACTAGATTATAAAGGTTTGCGTTGGCAGGAAGGGTTACAGACAGCATCGCAGACTTGTTGCTTTCTCTAACTTTGAGAAACTTAAAAACTTTATTGGAATATAAACTTTTAAAATTAGATCCTGTGTCCATTTTGCCTTGATGACTCAGAGTTGTATTAGCAAACACACACCCGTCTCCTGTACCTGGAGCACTCAGACGTTGTGTCTGACTCTGGAACTTACCAAAAAATTTTTTATTAGAGTTTTTTTTCACTTAAGAATAATGGGAAATTATGTAAAGATAAGTCATTGTGCTTCCACTACAAAACCAAAGTAGGCTTTTGTATCAGCAACAAATGATCTTTGAAAGAATCAAAAAAGTTAGACTTTGTGAGCCGAGACTTTTGCTTTCACTGGTCTTTAAGGGGAACTCCTCCTGAGTCTGTGCCTTTCTGTCCTTTTATGTAGACTTGACATTCTGTGACCGCCTCCACGGTAAGTGTTAGCAGGATCCAGGCGTAGGAAGGAAATGCACTCCAGCATCTCAAAACAGCACAGTTCTTGGAAGTGGTTTTTCACTCATTTTTCATCTTTTACCCTAAACTGCCACCTGATGGCCAAAAGTTAGAATGCCAGTTTTAAATATCATATCAAACCTCCAGCATCCAGTGCTGGAGAGCGGCTACAGTCACCACCCCGTGGTTTCTGCCTTCTTGGATGGCACCAGCTTGCATCCTGACTGCTCCACTTCCAGGCCAGCTCTTAGCTAAAGGCCTGGGCAGAACAGAACACAGCCTACCTGTTGGGCCCTGCCCCCCCTTGGGGGACGCCCAGAGGAAACGCCTCGCTTTAGCCTGGCCAGGTGCTGGCCATCGCTGGCCCCTGGGGAGTGGACCAGCAGGCGGAAGAGTCTCTTTGCTCCTCTCTTCCTCCCGTGTCTTTTCCGCCCCTTCCAATCAAGCAGATTTTTTTTTTAAGAGTTATTTTTATTGGAAAGGAGGATATACAGAGAGGAGAGACAGAGAGGAAGATCTTCCGTCCGATGATTCACTCCCCAGGTGAGCGCAACGGCCGATGCTATGCCGAGCCGAAGCCAGGAGCCTCTTCCGGGTCTCCCACTTGGGTGCAGGGTCCCAAAGCTTTGGGCTGTCCTCGACTGCTTTCCCGGGCCACAGGCAAGATGCTGGATGGGAAGCAGGGCCACCAGGATTAGAACCGGCGCCCATATGGGATCCCGGGCGTGCAAGGCGAGGACCTTAACCACTGCGCCCCCACGCCAGGCCCAAGCAGATATTTTTTGAAACTCTCCATTGTAATTGTTTGAATTTTTATGCACTCAGCCTAGAAACTGTAAAGTCTCCAAAAGCATATTCATGTAAGTACTGTGCACTCAGTATATGTGTGATGTTTAATTTGGACGTCAGAGAAACCATCCTAAGATTTCCTGAGCGAGCCCCTTCCCCGTGGGGCTCTGCAGAGTGTGCTTTGCTGACCTCTGACCACAGCCGCTTCCCCCTGCAGAGCGAGAGCACGCCGACACCAAGGTCTTCTTTTACCTGTGGATCGTCTTCTGCGTCATCAGCTCCTGCTACACCCTCATCTGGGACCTGAAGATGGACTGGGGTCTCTTCGACAAGAATGCTGGAGAGAATACTTTTCTCCGGGAAGAGATTGTGTACCCCCAAAAAGTATGTGCAAAGAATGTTTGTTTGTTTGTTTGCTTAAGAAAGATTTTTATCAGCAACTAAATTGTACTGCAGTACAAATTCAGTCTCTCATTATATTTAGCCCAGTACTAATAGGCAAATAATTACCAAGAATATGAATTATACATTCAGCCAGCAAACATGGATTAAATATCTACTGTATGTTAAGCATGATAGGAAATAAAAGCAAAGTAAAATTCTGGTCCCCAGGGAGAACTTAAACTATGTTCTGAGTGGGTAAATAAACTGCAACACGGTGTTAGAAATACTCTGTGGAAAGTAGGTAGCTTTGAGATTTGAGATTTATCCTGAACATGGAGTTCTCTCTGCACGATGCTCCCTTTTTGTCATCTTTGTAAAGTCCCGTTCCTGCTGTCTCCAGGCCGGTGTGTGTGGCTACCCCAGGAAGCCTTTGTGTTTCCTGCACTTAGCCGCTCATTCCTTCCCTCAGCAGTTGCAGCGGAGTCTTCTGCTCTCTGTTGATGTCACCGTAGCTGCCACTGTGCTCACAGTCCCTGACGTGTGGGCCGCGTAGTGCTGACCCAATGAGTAAGGGTTTTTCTAAGGTAGAATTTTTTTTTCAGGGTAGAGAGAGAGACAGTCCCTCCTCTGCCTCATTCCCCAGGTGACTGTAACAGCTGGAGTTAGGATGGTCCAACGCCAGGAGCTGCTTCCTAGTCTCCTTTGTGGGTGTTGGGACTTTAGGACCTCTGCCATCCTCTGCTGCTTTCTTAGGCCAGTAACAGGGAGCTGGACCAGAACTGGTTCTAACATGCGACGCCAAGCATCGTGGACAGAAGCCTAACCCACTGCACCACAATGCCAGCCCCCTTCTATTCATGTTAAAAAATGGAAATAGTAGAATACGATTTGGCCTGCAAAGTAAAGAAACCATTTCTGAATTCTCTTGAACCTTTATTAAAGATTAAGAACACATTGGGTAGGCAAAGCTAAGACGCTGTGTAGGACCCCCACATCCCATATTGAGTACTCGCTGTGTTCCCTTGTCAAGCTTGCTGCTGATGTGCCCTAAGAGACAGCAGGTGATGGCCCGAGTAGTTGGGTCTCTGCCACCATGAGGGAGGCCTACGTGGAGTTCCAGACTCCTTCCTTCAGCCTGGCCCAGTTCCAGTGGGTACCGATATATGAGAACTGAAGTAATTCTCAAAAATTAAGACAAAAACTAAAAGCACAGCTATCTGAATCTTAAAATCAGTTCCTAGGGGCCAGTGTTGTGGCATAGCGGATTAAACCATTGCCTGTGCACCGGGGCTCTCTTCTGTGGTGCTGATACGCGTCCCAGCTGCTCCACTTCTGACCCAGCTTCCTGCTAATGCACCTAGGCGAGCAATGGAAGATGGCCCCGATGTGTTGGCTGCTACCACTGATGTGGGAGACCTAGCTGGAATTCCAGATGCCTGACTTCAGCCTGGCCCCCACCTTTGATGCAGTCTTTACAGAACAGAATTTGGTGTTAGTGATTAATAATGCACGATTTTGAGCATGACACCCCAGGCACTGGAGCCATGCTGGTTATCTGCAGCCTCAGACTTTCCTGAATTGGTTAAGTGGTGTTCTCCCAAAACTCATTCATGTCTTTGGTAACGTTAAGTCCCTTTCTGGTCAATTGTATGTGACTTTAGACTGACTTTTTAGAAAAGATTTATTTATTTGAAAGCTACAGAGAGAGTAGGACAGACAAGCAGAGAGAGGTTTTTCAACTAATGGTTCAGATGACTTGCAGCAGTCTGGAGCTTGGCCAGGACAAAACCAGGAACCAGGAGATCCTTCCAGGTCTCCCACTGGGAGGTACAGGGTACAGGGGCCCAAGCCCTTAGACTACTGCTTTCCCATACACATTAGCAGGGAACTGCTGAAATAGCAACTGGCATCCATATGGGATGCCTGTGCTTCAGGAGGCAGCTTAACCCACAGTGCCGCAGCACTGGCTGCTAGACTGACTTAGAAGCACATGAAATTGCAGTTCTTTGGTTAGGCCAACTAATAAGTATATTGAACATAAATTTGGCAAAATTACATTGTCATTTTATTAGAAGGATGGAGGTAGAAGCAGGAAGATACAGGAATGTGTTAAATCCTATTAGTAACCCAGGCAGCCTCGGTCATCATACCCAGAAGTCAGTAGATCGTGTCTAAAACAGACTGCAAGAGAGAGTAACACGCAAATGCTCTTTAAGCATAGGAGGATTAAAAAATGGACAAATCAAGTTTGAAAATGTCTCTTGGGAACAGAAGGAGAAAGTGGCAAAGAGACAATGATTTTTTTTATTAGTAGCCCACTAACAATAACTAGTACTGTTTTGTCAAATTAGTTTGAATAAAACCATTGTTATTGTTCAGTACCAAAAAAAAATAATAATAATAATCTGGTTCCTGACTTAAAATATATACATTTAAAGAGATAATTTCCTAGAGATCAGACAAACACATCCACCCTTTACGGTTCTGGTTTGCTGGCAGTTAATGTGCCTAAAGACTTTTGGGTGGCAATAACTAAATTTTGAATTCTTATACCTGGAATTATTAGTTGAGCACTGGTTTCCCGTGTAAAAATAGCACATTTCCTAAATTCAATCTTGCGCCTGATATCCAAGCTTAATATCATTTACTGATGTCAAAAAGCAAAGCAAGGGGCCTCTGTGGTGGCACCCAGTGCTAGTCCTCTGTGGTACCAGCGTCCATATGGACACAGATTTGAGTCCTCACTGCCCCACTCCCTGTCCAGCTCGCTACTGGTGGCCTGAGAACGTAGTGGAGGATGGCTGAAGTCCTTGGGCCCCTGCCCCAAGTGGGAGACCAGGAAGAAGGTCGTGGCTTCCAGCTTCAGACGGGCCCAACTCTGGCTCTTGTGAGCATTTGCAAGGGTACTCATAGATCAGTCTCTCTGTCTGCCTCTCTCTCTCTCTCTCGTCTCTCTCTCTCTCCCTGTAACTCCGACTTTCAAGAAAAATAAACCTTTTTGCCATTTTGTAAAAATGCTAGGCAAGTGGTAGGTATTGTGGCCCCGCACATGGGCTGCTGCCGGGTCACATGCATCCCGTGTCAGTGTGGCTGAGCTGGAGCCCCTCCTCTGCTGTCCAGCTGGGTGGACATTCTCTTGAGAGGCAGCAGATGGCTGTGCAGGCTCCTGGGGTCTTGCCTGCTGCGTGGGAGGCCTGGTGAACTTTCTGGTCCTCGGCTTGGCTGGGTCCAGCCCTGCTGTTGGGAAATAAGTCAGCAGAGGGAGGACCCTACTTTCTGCTTTCCTCTGTCTGTTGTTCTCTCGAATGAAATAAATGAAGAAGGCAAATAGTACCGTTAACAAGGATGCTTATCTTTTCAATGTGAGCTCTCAAGCCATTAGTTGTCAGATTCCTGTTAGAATATATTTCAGTCAGTGACCCCGTCTGGCTTGGATGTCAGGGCCTAGAGCAGTGTCTCATGTCGGAGTGTAGGAATGTACACTCCGTGTGTTTGTGAAGTGATCACCCAAATTCAGTAAGCCTTCAAAAAATGTATCATTTAAGCAAACAATGAAATTGATGAGAATATTCCTAAGAGATAGTATGTGCTTCTTGCACCTGCGCTTACTGGTGAGCAGTCTGTGCATGTTCTTGCTGATGGAGGTGTTCAGCTTTGAGAAGCACGATGGGAAGCCTGCTCAGTCTGTGCGTTATTTCCCAGGCCTACTACTACTGTGCCATCATAGAGGACGTGATACTGCGCTTCGCTTGGACCATCCAGATCTCAGTGACCTCCACGGTGGCACTGCCTCACTCTGGAGACATCATCGCCACCGTCCTGGCCCCCCTGGAGGTCTTCCGGTAAGCACACTTCTGGAAAGTTTACCCGCAATCCCTACTGATGCCAGCTACTTACAGAGTAGAGATTATTCACGGATATTGCAACATGTTGGTGGGAAAATAGAATTAAAAAGTAAGTCTATATTGTGACCTAAAAGTTCTCAAATCAACACATAGTTTTTTCATAATAAAGGTTGAGCATTTCGAAGACCTTTCATATGCATGATTTCAAAATTATTTTACACCAGAATACTATTTTATTCTGTGTTCTGCAAGTCTTTTGAAATACCTTTATATTTCCGAAGCTGAGGCTTCTGTCGGTCTCAGAGCTGGACCACTCTTCTTGAAGGGCTGAGGTGAATTCTTAGAAAGTTTAAATAGTGACTCACGTTGTGGTGCAACAGGTAAAGTCACCGGGGTCAGAGTCCTGGCTGCTTTGATTCTGAAACAGCTCCCTGCTGCTCCCCCGCCCCGGGAAGACATGGACGAGGACCCCAGGCCCTGGGTCCCTGCCACCCAAGTGCAAGACCCAGCTGGCCTTCCAGGCCCCCTCAGTCTAGCTCATTCCCAGCATTGCCTCCATTCAAGGAATAAACCAGCAGATGGAGAGGGCAGGCTGTCTCTCTGTGACTCCACCCTTCAGATAAAGGAGTGAATAACCATTGGTGTGGATTTATATGCTTCTTTTGTAGTCGGGCTCCAATGGAAGACAGTAAGTAAACATTGAGAGGTCAGGAGGTTTGGCTGAGAATAGAAATCTAAAAATCAGTTTGTTAGTCTTAATTATTCAGCTCATAGTCCTCGCTGAGAACAGCAGAAGTTGTAGCCAGAATGGTCTCAGAATCCTTCCAGGATGCATCAGCCACCTGACAAGGTATCCTGCAGCCTAAGTGAGAGCAGGAGCCCCGAGATAAACTGCCTGGGGAATTCACCATGGAAGTGCGCCAGGCCCGGGCCCTCTTTCTGTCTTACGTCACGCAGATAGCCTCCTCCTTTTAGCTGTCTACCACTGGTCATCGCACTCCCTCAAGGCACGGGCTCCCTTCCCACCAGACAGGAGCCATTCAGGAAATGTTTATTGAATAAAGCAAAAGCACAGTACTCAGACTGAGTCCAGGACCCCCTTTAGCTCTGGCCCACTTGTCTCCTTTCCCACCGACTCCATACCATTCCCTGCTTTACTTTAACAACCAGCCTGCAACTGCTCATTTTTGTTTCCCTGGGTGGTCATTTGGACATTAGCAGCCTTATAGGCTGAGTGATGTGCTGAGATTCTGGAAGTAATCGGGTCATCTGCCTGTTTTTCACTAAGGCGTTTTGTATGGAACTTCTTCCGCCTGGAGAACGAACACCTGAATAACTGCGGTGAATTCCGTGCCGTGCGGGACATCTCCGTGGCCCCTCTGAACGCAGACGACCAGACACTGCTAGAGCAGATGATGGACCAGGAAGACGGGGTCCGGAATCGGCAGAAGAACCGGTCATGGAAGTACAACCAGAGCCTGTCTCTGCGCCGGCCACGCCTCGCCTCTCAGTACGTATGGCCTCGACTTCTTCAAGGCATCTCCCCTTTCTTTTCGGTGTTGCTTAGCATTTAAGCAAGGAGGCTTGTCAAGTTAGAGCAGGTGAAGCTGCTGGTATGCATCCATTTTGCATCGATAGAAAAGAGTAATAAACTGCAATTTCATGTGTATCCAGTCTAGAAAATATCTTCATGAACACATAGAGTAAATGTCCTTAATACATGCTTATTAATTTGGCATTTAGGTACAGTGGGAAAAATCCCACTGGAGAGTTGTTGCCATGACTGTTCAGTGTGTTTTGTATACAGATCTCAGTTCATAAGCTTTAGAAATCTGCAGAGCAATCCATGTGACCTTGAACCTTATAGCTTTATATAGCCTTATAGTCACAATGTAACCTTGTAGCCAGCCTTGACCACGCTATGTAATTTCTGCATTTTTATCCCTTATCTGTAAATTGGAATTAATATGGTTTTTGCTCATAGGATAGTTAGGTGAATTCAATACTGATTACATGAGATTTATACTAGTTTCTTCACAGAAATGGCTGAATAAGTGCATCTTTTTATTTAAAAATGTATTTCATTTATTGGAAAGGCAGTTATAGGGAGAGAGTGAGAAACAGATCTTCCATTATTAGGTTCACTCTCCAGATGTTCACTCTCCAGATGGCTCCAGTGACCAGGATGGAGCCAGGAGCTTCTTCTGGGTCTCCTGTGAGGGCGTAAGGGCCCAAGCACTCGGTTCATCTTCAGCTGCTTTCCCAAGCATATCAGCAGAGAGCTGGATCAGACGTGAAGCAGCCGGGACTGGAACTGCACCCATATGGGGGCTAGCACTGTAGGCGGTGACTTACCCCTGTATGCCACAGTGCAGGCCCAATTATGTCTTTACTAAATACCTTCAGTGGCTTTTTGTTGTTGTTGTTATTATTGGATGTTCATGCTTCTAAAATTACTAATGCATGCGGAATATGTAGATGTCTGCTTTGAAATGTGTGTGTTGAAATTGTATATTGGGGGCTGACCACGTGGCTCAACTAGCTAATCCTCCATCTTCAAGTGCTGGCATCCCATTTGAATGCTGGTTCATTCCAGCTGTTCCGCTTCTCATTTAGCTCCCTGCTTGTGGCCTGGGAAAGCAGTGAAGGATGTCCCAAAGCCTTGGGTCCCTGTGTCCATGTTGTAGGCCTGGAAGAAGTTCCTGGCTCCTGGCTTCAGATTGACACAGCTCCAGCTGTTGCCTAACATTTGGGGAGTGAATCAGTGGATGGAAGATCTTTTTCTCTGTTTCTTCTTCTTTCTGTAAATCTGACTTTCCAACAAAATACATGTTTAAAAAAATAAATTGCATGTTGCAATGAAGGAAACATAAATCAAGCAAGTTTCATTAATGATGAAGGAATGTTTAGATATAGACACGGTGGAGACATGAAAGTGGAAATGGGGGATGTAAAGAAAATAATTCGACTGGAAATATAGTGAAAAATTTTAGCTGAGTAGGTAGGTGCAATGATAAAAGGCTGACACGTGCAAACTTGATCTTACAGGCAGGAGGAAGGCACAGGTTATTTTTTGTTCAAAGAATGAAATGATCAGAATAGTAGGTTAGGAAAAGTTAATGGTGCTGTGCGAGACATTAGGAGAGGGAAAGCTGAAGGCCCGAAGCCCAGCTGGAGGGCTGTGGCAGTGAAGGTCAAGACCAGAGTGCTTCCCGAAAAGGCAGATCTCAGGTAGTGTAAGGGGACATTGTCTGTAGAGGAAGTAAGAGGCAAGAGCCCACACTTTGTCTGAGTTTCCCATGCTGGGGCAGGGGCCCAGTGCTGGAGCCCTCGTCTGCTGCCTCCCACGACGCGTTTGCAAGAAACTGGTTCAGAGGCAGAATAGCTGGACTGGGACCAGGATGTGGGTGTCCCACAAGGCAGCTTAATATTCTATGCCTCAACGGGAGTCTCTTGTGTAGCATCCTAAAAAGGTGACTATTTAGTTCTGACTGATAAGCAGCAGTGATGATGAAGTTCTTAACTATGGGAGACACCTCGTTTTGTCTCTGCATAGCTGTAGGGGAGCGTAAGTAATGCTGGGCTGGAGTGAGCCTCCCGGTAGCGTCAGCCCGCATCTCTTCACCTGACCTGTGATGAGTCTCCTCACTCTTGTGCATCACCCGGTATCAACTGTTTGGAAACAAGCAGCGGAGAGTTAGGCCCTAAGTCTGAGTTTGTCAGGTATGCCTCAAACATCTGCTGTCTTGATTATGACTTCTTACATTAGTGTGTTATTGATGCTCTTGGAAAGTCCATTATCTCACTTGGTATGCAGCCTGTGTCCATGAGCTGAGAGTGCTATCGCTGAAGTGGACGTGGGTGGCCTGGCTTTGCAGAAGTGGCAGTGGGTGCTGTGGAGTTACTGAGCACCCTGGGATTACTGTGCTTTGCGCAGGGCCATTTGGGCGTGGCTTGTTCTTTGCCCGCCTTCCTCTGGTTGCAGTCTACATTGTTAGTGTTTTCCCGTTGACCTAAAGTTGAATATGAAATCCCAGAAGTAGTCCAACTGAGAATGTATATCTAACTTGGGTAAGATTAGCCGTGCACCTTGTCCTGTCAACGTGCTGGTGTTTTATTAATGAGCCTTCCCCGTGTTACCACTAGGTCCAAGGCTCGTGACACTAAGGTATTGATAGAAGACACAGACGATGAGGCTAACACTTGAATCCTCTGAAGCTGAGCTGAGCATCCTCGGGTTTCCTGCCCCACAGTCCTTCCTCGACAACACGACCTCCAGGACCTTTGCAGCTGAGAACAGGAGCAGATGCCTACCACACCGTCCGAGCTCTTCCACGTCGGATCCTATGGACTCCAAGCAAGCTCACTGTGTTCCTTTCCTTTTCCTCTGGTTTAATTTTACTTTTCTATTTTTAAAACAAACACTTCATTTTGCCAATCAAAGGACGTTTTAAGGAACAAAAACGTAGTCTCTTACATCCGGATTGTTTACAATCACAAGGACACCGATACCTATGGAGATGAAGAGCGGTGCTGCCCGGAGCCTCTGACGGGACGGTGCCGAGAGGGCTCGGCTTCCGCGTGGTCCGCTTTTGACTAGTTGAGACTGGACATTGGTTTTTAAAATCTTTTGTCAGTTCGTGTGGAGAATTGTTTTGTTCCCTCCTCCCCAGCGCAGAGGCACTGGCTGCACTTGCAGGCAAAGTGCACCGTGGAGCAGTACCTTCATTCATGAAGCTACTTTTTAATTTGATGTAACTTTTCTTATTTTGGGGAGGGTTGCTGGGTGGGTGGGAAATGTGATGTATTTGTTACATAGAGTTTTCTCACTATTTATGAAACTTAACCATAAGAGGATGATACAACTCCTGTGCAATGAAGATGACAAGGATGGGGGAGACGAACGTTGGGTGACAGCTCGGAGGCTCAGTCCCACATGCCTCTTTCAGGAGACAATTTGCACCAGTTGAACTTTTTCTGCTTTTTCTTTCTTTCTTTCTGTTTTTCTTTCTTTTTTTTTTTTTCAAAGCCAAAGTTTGCTTCTTCCCTTTCTGGTTGTTGCTGCTGTAGAGTCCCCAGCGTCCATCGTCACTAGGCCCATATACACCCATTCCACTAGCTGAATTATAGGAGAGGTTCTGATACTGTGTTTTATTCTATTGTCAGGAACAGATGTGGAATGTATTTGCCCCATATTTCAACTCTAACCGTAGAAGTTTACCTTCAGTCTATAAGGAATTGGAGTGTGATCTTTCCTAACTCTGAATTAGAAGGTGGCTGTTTCGGGGACTCCCCACACGCTCGTAGTAGCCAGTCTCCTGTGCTCATCCTCTTCGTCCAGAGTTTGATCGGATTCAGTCTGTTTGGGGGAAGCTATATTTTTGAGCACGTGGAGCAAAGCATCTCTACCCCTTCTGTGTATTCATTTAAAAGATCCCGGCAGCCAATTCTCCCAGCAGTTTTAGAATCTCTGCTATCCTGTGCTAAAACCAAATCTACTTTTAAAATATTGGGGATCTAAACTTGTTCACAAGTGGAAGGTGCATTACCTAGAAATTTTAGACTATATGCAGTGCCCATTTTTATTTCTTGGTTCTTTTATTTGCTTTGTTTTTAAGTTCCCCAAATAAGCTCAAAGCTATAGGATTTTACTTTCCTGAAATGTGACTGACATTAAATTTAGTATTTCACTATCTTTAACAAATTAACACGAATACCAGGAGAAGATCAAATGTATTTTAGTGTTCCCACTCCAAGACCCAGATGAAGATTCTAGAATCAACATCGGTAGATTGATGAAAGTAAATTTACTTCTGTCATTTTTAGCTTGATTTTAAACAAAGGAGCAAGTAAGTGGAGAGACAGCAATTATCGCTTGTTAATCTTAAAACATGGCTACTGCCTTTTAATATATACCCGTTGTCGTTAGCTCTGCCTCGTGTATTTTAAGTCTTTACATGATTCCAGATTACATTAAAGTTATTAATGCTACCGGAGCTCTGTCCGTTAACTGACCGCTAGTTTCCTTTTAAAGGAGTTTCTTTTGTCTTTGTTCTGAGAACCTTGCAAAATTTGCCCCTCTTCCGATTCAACAGGATGGTTTTGTTTTTGTCTTCATTTTTGGTGGGGAGAGAAGGAAGCTTTTAATTCATGTAGTTACTGTTATTTTGAAAAATCATAAAACATGATAGCTTCTATTTTTTTTTTCTTATTTTGCCAAGCATATATTCCTTGGCCCAAAACTGAAGAGGAGACGTCTCCTGCTTGCTTTTTTTTTTTAAGTTTAAATAAATTGAATCATTTATACTAATCGGTGGTAACAACTTGGTGACCCATGGTAGATTACAAGTTGCATTATTTCTGCTTGGGTTATTGTTGTTGTTTCGGGTTTTTTTTTTTTTTTCTTTATTCTGGTTTCTGTACTTTTAAACTATGGAAAGAAATATCACTGGTCTGTGAAGAAGTAGCAGTGACTTTTTAAATTACTGAATGATACGGAGAAGTCTAGCAGGTCAGTCATTTCTTGTGCAAATAAAATCGGTGACACTGCTGTGCGTCCAGAGCCATCTGAACACTCAGCTTCCCTCTCCACTGGTAGATCAATGAGATGAAACACCCAAAGTCTTACAGTTGACATCTGGAATTTAGACTCCTCAGCGTTTTTACATGGTTGTGTCCTATGGCCATTGGATCTGTTCAACTGTTGTGATGCTAGGCCCTTGTCAGTATTAACTTTCCATAGAAACAGCAATGGAATGTATTTCTTTTCTAATGGTTTCTTACTGCTGCAGTCTTAGAAACAAGGCTTCTGGGACTTTCAGTTGACCATTTAGTTAAACACACAACTGTATTTTGCCCTTTGAGTTATAAAGAGAAAAGAGATTTTTCTCATCAACTTTTGCCTTCAGAAAAAGCAGCGTGTATGTTCGCCTCCTCCTCTATGTCAAACCTAGCACTTGTTAATGAGGGGTCGCCTGATGCTTTAGGAGAGTCTTGCATTCACTGGAAGTCTCAGTACAACTCTTAGAATTAAACTTCACAGAGTTGCTTTAAAGAAATAGCAGTCTAATGAAAGGTACAACTTCATCTGATTTTAGGTTACAATATTCCAGGTTTTGTTTTTATATAAGAATCACTCAATTCTTAGCAGAAGTTAAAATATTCCCAAAAGAATAAAATTGACTTTTCATTTTGTAGTTATTTGGGAGATACTGTTATGTGTGGACAAATCAGAAGACAAAAGTAGGTTCTTTTTTATGTCTGTATTAGCTCATGGAGTTAAGACTGCCCGTGCCGTTACAGGCGTTCAGTTGGTGATCTCACACAGAGATAATGACATGGTGGAGCTGAAGGCTGTGTCCCTGGAAAGTCATTTGTAAGATTGGAAAGAAGTTGAAAACTTAAGTGCAGCTTTGTTTTTCAGCATTTTACCATTAGACTCTCAGCTGAACTTCCAGGTCAGAAGCCGTGGTATGAAGGAGAACATGGGTGGCTTTAGCCATATCCTGAAGACATCCATAAGGAAAGAAAATGAGACCTGGCCCCGCAGCCGTGACTTCCCAGCAGGGCCCACAGGAGTGCTACAATGGGAGCTGAGTTTCCTGGAGCTAACTTACTGATAAAAATAGTGCCTTTCCACCAAGGTTAGGTAAAAGTACACCCCAAATAACTAGAGAAAAAGAAAAGAAGAAAATCTGCTGCTGACGAGTCATCCAGGTGGCAGATGAGCGGATACTGGGAGTGGTGTTAGCAGAGATGAACGGGGAAGCTGGCGGCTGGGAGCAGTAGCCAGGAAGCCCGTGCACCCTTAGGCCTGGGGCAGGGCCAGGCAGGAGACCCTGCCTTGCTGCTCTTATTTACCCCCAGCACCTTGCATCATGCACAAAACAATTCCCAAAAGTAGTTTGCTAAGCAATGGCTGTAAAACATTTCTGTGATGAAGAATTTATAAAATAATTCAATATATTACCAGAAAACAATATCCATATTATTATTTCAAACAATTGGGATTCTTTGAAATAATTTCACTTTGCTTACCAAACAGATCTCAGATAACTCCTTTTTCTAAAGCTCTCCCCAAAACTAAGTATTTTTTGCTATGTAGTAAAACTTGATTTTTTTTTTTAAATGAGGGGAATATTTCAGATAAAAAAAATCATGTTGACTGTATGGCTCTCTCAACTACAAAAGTCTTACTTTCTTCCAGATTATATGGAATCAGTGTCAGCACAGAGAAGGCCCCCCGTGACCAGGAGAAAACCACCGTTTTGAATGTTTGAAGCAGTTAGATAAAAAAGAAGTCCGATCGATTGATTTCACTCATTTAATTTTGTTCTGGTTGGTGAAAATGTTTCTTGCCTTTGATCATTAGTTAAACCAGGGAAAAGTAAAGAGTTTCTGAATCGCTTGTTCATACATTTCTGCATTTCAAACATCAGTCTTTGATGAAGTGTTAAGACCTCCCAGGATGTTGTGTTATTTTGTAAGTTGAGGTTACTGCAGGAACATGGGAGGGAGCCGGCTTGCTTAAAGCAAACGGGGTGTGTGCTGTGCAGGGTTACAGCCCAGTGGTGCAGCCAGCATTAACCGCATGTTGAGAAGTGAAAGCATCGCATTGCTATGGGACAGCTCAAGAGATACAAGAAGTTTCAGAGTGAAGAGAGCCTGTCGATTTGTATGACTCATAATATTTCTTGGGTGAGGTGTCCAAACTCTGATACTAACAAGTTGTCATTAAGCAACCTTCCGGAATATATTTAGTCATAGCGGGCAAAGGAAGACACAGGGTTTCCCCTGAGCCGAGAAGAATCACTGTACTAATTTTCCAGGGAAACATGTTTCCTTGTAATAAACAATCAACTCTGTCTTATTGTTGAATCAAAGCCACCTTCAGTTTCTGCCTATACCATCAGCCTACGGAGAACAATCAAAACTAACCTGTTTTTGGCCTTGGGTTCAGTGTGTCTGCCATGACAGCGTTCCTCTTCCATAGCTCCAAGCTGCACACTGGGCAACTCGCACCTTCGTCCTCCCCACGCCCGCCCGGCTGTGCCCGCCTGGCTGTGCCTCCGCTCACTCGGCTGTGGGAAGGAGGCAGTGCGACGAGCAAGACATGGGCTTCAGGACAGGGCAAGGGTTCCATTTCCGTCTCCCCTAATCATTGTCTTGGAAGTCCCCGCCTTCACTTCCTAGGGCAACACCAGCACCGGGGGAATAGGGAGAAGGACTGTGAGAAATCCCAAACTAATCATTCACAATATTGTTACTTCTTGAATTGTAACAGAAAATTGTGAGCTGTTGAACATCTCAGTTGTAAAAGAACAGAACCCTTAGAATTTATCACGTTGTAAGAGTGATTTTTTTTTTCTGTTTTCAGGATTAGCACAGACCCTTGTGTCAATGAGGAATATCTGGGGGGGGGGGGAGAAGGGGCGGGAATAGGGTGAAAGGTATTTTTCTTTGCAAAAGTCCTGCTTATGCTGTGTTTCTTTCACTGTGCTGCCCCACACTGTGGGTCAGATGAGATGGTCTGATGAAGCCCAGAGCTGTGGTTGTCATGGTAACGATGGGTTGTGATTCGTCCTCTGTGGGTGCTTCATCCCCATTTCTTCCTCTCCACTCTGCTAAATGGAAAAGGTGACGTCGAAGAATTGATACTTGCTTGGATTCATGTTGTACCTGTGACTATGCTATTAGCTGTCTCCTTTCCCCCTTATATGGGTAGAATTCGTATGACATGTGGACTTCCCTTCTTGATCAGTAGGCTAAATGCACAATGTGGTACTGTTTTATAGTTTCTAGATGGTTGTACAAAGCAAAAAGTTCATGTGGTTATGTGTTTTTAAAAGAAAATAAGTGATTGGTTACAAACTGTCCTTTTTTCATGATTACAAGCTCTCTGTTTTCCAACGGTCCTCCGGCTCCTTTGTCGCTGGCGAGTGGTGTGTGTGACTGCCGTTCTCTGCGTCTCTTGGTTGTCTGAACTTGGCTCCCCCTAGTGCTAACTGGTATATAGATTCGGACCATTAGGTTACAGTAAATTGTGTTTTACTACGTTGAAAGCTCTAACAGACCTTGTTCTTTAGGTAATATGAGCTATGACATCAAAGCAATGGGATTCATGCAAAAAGTCCTTTTTTTTAAAATAGGAAAGAATCTCAAACAAAGGAAATGGTAGATCCAATTCCATGTAGGAGACCTGGCACTTGTCACCCATGAAACATCATTGGCTTTCTGTGAAATTACTGGAGTGATGGGGTTAAGTATTCTATATGCAAAAGGGGAAACTATGAGAGTAACTGGCCCCAAGGTGAGTGTGCATGAGATGCAAAGAAGGGCGGTGTGTTGCCAGAAGCACTAGGAAGGCCCTTCCATCTTGAGCAGTGCGGGCTCTGGGCTTCACTGACTGTAGACAGCCTGAGCGTGGTGGTCACGAAGCTTCCAACCAGCGTCACTGTTGGCTGTGGATGTGCGTATGAATCGCTAGATGCTCAACACTTCTTAAAATGTGATAATGTACATCTGTATGCCTACAGTGCTTGTATTTTATAGTTCCCAAATACATAGCATCTCAGTTACATGGGGATTAATGAATCCGTTCAGTTTGTTTACGAGCAGTTACGTCTGCAAGCCCAGAATGCTGTGGGAGGCCACGCTGAGGCCACTCCAACATCCCAGGGCTTTTTATCAACTGTGTGGATCTGTTAAAGCTTTTTGTTAAATTTTGTTATGAAAATAATGACCCACTTTAGACTTTCTGATGCACTACTTTTTCTGGTTTTCTACCTTTTCCTTTTGGAAAATTGTGAAATTCTCATGTGTTTCTAAAAAGTAACTTATTGTATAAACTGGGTTATTATCCTGTGTTTGACATCACTGTAATGCATGGGAAGTTGGTTCCCTTGTCATTTTTATGGTGAAAGGAAGGGAATGGGACAACAGTTTTCCAAAGTGCCTTTTGCAAGCCACTGCCCTGCAGCCAGCCTACCCTGGTACTGGATAGAAAGGCCCACTTCACTCCTTCCCGTTCACATACCGAAGCCTGTGTTTTGCTGCTCAGTCGTCCTTGTAAAAGTATTTGATGTGTCAGACTTACCTACTATACCAGGGCTGGCATGGTAGCGTAGCAGGTAAAGCAATCAGCTGCAACATCAGCGTCCCCTGTAGGCACTGGTTCAAGCCCCAGCTGCAGGATCTGGCTCCCTGCTAATGGCCTGGAAAAGCAGCGGATGAATGCTGAACTGTCTGGGCTCCTGCCATCCATGTGGGACCAGGTGAAACTCCTGGATGTGGCCTGACCCATTCTGGCTATGTTGGTCATTTGCAAAGTGAACTAGCAGATGGAAGATCTTCTTATCTCTCTCCCTTTCTTTTTGTAATTCTAACTTCTGAAAGACTTATAAATTATAATATTCTATTAAAAAAATTCTGCTACCAAATCCTGTGCTTATAATCTATCTTACAGTTTACTAATTGAAGTGTAATTGTCTTATATGAGTTAAAAAAAATTTTTTTTTGTAAGAGCAGCAGAGAGAATATCTTCTGTCTGCTGGTTCACTCCCCACATGGCTGCAGCTCGATCCAGGTCTCCCATGTGGGTACAGGCGCCCACGCACCTCCGCCATTTTTCCATCTTTCCCTGCTTTCCTAGGCACACCAGCAGGGGGAAACTACCTGTGTTGCCTGCCGTGGGATCCTCTGCATCCTTCTTCAAAGGCCCCCACTGCTGTGGCTTGGGTGTCCCTGTGTGCCTGCCTACTGGGGACTTGGTAGAGCCCTGGTCTGGGAGAAAGGAAGGAGGGAAGCTGGCCAGTGGTGGATTTTGCCCCTGGGTGGCCATGTTCAGTCCTCCCCTCTGTGCCCTCTGCAGTATTTTAGCCATCGTCACATTTGAGCCACTTCCTGCATCCCTGTCATCTCAGTGTCACCACACTTTAACAGGCTGGAGAGAAATGGAGGTGTGACTGCAGTACGCGGGTGGGTGTGTCGGGTGGCTGGATCTCCAATGGGAAGCCTTACTCCTCGAGCCAGGGCTGGAAGTGAGCAGGAACCAAGCACATCTGGAGTGGGTGAGCCAAGGAGTACACACACACCGTCTGAGCAGAATGGGCAGAGGGACTGCCTGTTCCAGCGTGGCAAAACAGCACATTGGCAGAACTGGTGAGGAGTGCCGTAGTGGGGTGCTGTCTTCACTTCCACTAGGGGAGGAATATCTGTGTCCCCACACCCAAAATCCTGTTGAAAACCCACCTTCCAGGAGGGCGATTTCAGTAGGGGGACACTGGTTGGTGACCCCATGACATGTTGGTGACAGGCACCCCCAAAAGCACTCTTTACTATTTGAGGATATGGCAATAAGATCCAGCCACATCCTGGGAGATGGCTTTAATGACAGCTTGAGTGTGCTGGTCCCTTGGGCTCAGCCTTCCATATTCCAAGGCTGTGAGAAAGTTCTGTTGTTTACAAGCAATACACTTGGAAACTATCCAAACCAGCTCGGCTATATGGTCATTTTACCAACACAACTGTTCATGGCTTGGGCACTTGGAAGGCTTGTCAGGCACCTGCTGTGGGTTGGGATGCTGGGGTCATTCTGCAGAGATGCCCACCTGTGTGCTCCAGATGTTCCCATGTGTAATTCTGCCTGCCCCTTGTGGACTTTGGGAAGGAAGTATTGGTGTGCAGTCATGACTGAAGGGGAAGGGCAGTTTCGTTGCGGGAGATACAGGGCCCGGGAAGGGAGCAGCTGGGAAGTCCCACCTCTGAACTCAAGGTCATGGCTTCCTTCCTTCACCAAGGGCACTTTGTGAAGCAGAGGCCTCCACAAGGCAAGGGCTGGACTCTGGCAGAGATGCCAGGTGAGCTTAAAAGAAGCACAGACATGATAGGGATCAACATGGTAGCGGCTTGTTAAGACAGGACCAGAACAAGGTGTCTGAGGATGACAAGAAAGCCCATCAGCTGGGGTCATTTCATAGCCACCTGCAAGCCCAGGAGGCCAGGCAGTAAACGCTGCCGGCATGACCCAACTTGACCCCTGGGGCCACTGTGAATGGCTGGAATAGAATCTAATGAATTTAACAAGTCTGATGAGCCAGGTTCATTAAGTCAAATGAAACATCAAGGGCTACCCAAAAAATCATAACATGCAACACCAAGAATCCAGACTAACGCCTCAGAATCCAGGGTCACAGCCCATTGCGCCCTTGGGGCCTGTGTGCTTGGCTCCTAGAACACTCTGCTCCTGGCACTGCTGGCTCCAGAAATGTCTCCAGCAACAATCCCGAACTTTCTTTCTGACTTCATCATTCTTCACCATGCTTGTCTCTTGGTGCACATCTTACTTGCTTTTCTCTGTCTTCTCTGTGAGGTTGTCAGCTGAATGTCAACAGAAACCACTGAGAGACCTGGATGAGCCAGCATGCCCAGGGGGCACGGATGCTGGAGACCACGAACAGTGTTTCCAGTGGTGATGAGAGCTGTTTGTGGTCCACTAGGCACCCGCAACGTGTCTGGCGCTGACCTGGGCTGCAGGCTCATCAGTAAGTAGGACAATACAGAAACTCACAAAATCTGGGATGCTTTTGTGGATTGATTGTGGAGGCAAGTGCAAAAATGACCATCCCGGATGTTGGATGAAGTCAGTGGTACAGACAGAGAGTAGGGGCTCAGGGAAGTCAAGGGTGTAAGGTAGGCTGCAAGAAAGGAGATACAGGGCCTTGTTGAAGACTTGCCCTCTGGGTGGGATGGAAGGTACAGAAGGGAGAGCTTTGAGGCCATGATCTGAATTCCATAAAAGGCACAAAGTGGAAATAATGGGGGCCTTGGACTGCAGGGCAGTTGTCATGCCCATAGCATGGGCAAGGAAGGTTTCTCTGAGGAAGTGGGATTGCAGCTGAGTCCTTCAGTGACAGAGACCTCCCAACCACTAGTTCATCTGCAACAACTGGGTCTCCACAAGAATGGCAAGAACCCAAGCACTTGGATAGACATCTGTTGCCTTCCCAGGTCCATTAGCAGGGAGTTGGACTAGAAGTGGAGGATCCTAGACTTGAACCCGAGTTCCAGTAGGGAATGTAGGTGGCAGCTTAACCTGCTATGTCACCACACCCATGCCCAACTACTTTCTTTATCTGATTCTCACACTCCAGGCCGTCACTCCTCTGTCCTGATCACCCCCCAGAAAGAGGTCCCAGACAATTAGACACAACCTGACGGTCCCGAGTCCTGCTATTATTCAAGCTGTACTTAACCCGCTCCACCCATTCTCTCCTGTAAAAAGACCCTTGCCCCAAACTCTACCCTCTTTTCTTTAAGCAATATGTCAGTGTTGGAATCATTCTCTACCTGCCCAGGGCTTTTGTTTTTGCTGCTTTGTCTGATTGTAGATACTATTTATTTACTGGGCAGCGTTTCTGGACTGATTTTGGAAGGAAGGCAGCTTCCTTCCTTCCTTCTTTCCTTCCTTCCTTCCTTCCTTCCTTCCTTCCTTCCTTCCTTCCTTCCTTCCTCCTTCCCTCCCTCCCTCCCTTCCTTCCTTCCTTCCCTCTCTCTCCTCTCTCTGTCTCACTCTCTCTTTCAGTATTAGAGTTATAGAGGGAGAGAGAGGGAGGGAGGGAAGACGAGAGAGAATCTTCCATCTGCTGTTTCACTCCCTAGGTGATTATAATGGCAAAGTCTAGGTTGGACTGAAACCACAAGGCAGAGGCTGCATCCAGGTCTCTCACATGGATGACAGGGGCCAAGTACTTGGGCCATTTTCTGCCGCTTTCCCAAGGCCGTCGGCAGGGAGGTGGCCAGAACAAGCATCTGGGCTGGAGGAACTGATGTTCATACAGGATGCTGGCAACGCAGGCAGGGTCTTTGCCCAGTATGATACAACAGCTGCCCACCCCTCCATGGTGATGCTCTTGT